CACCTGGCCGCCACCTCGCCCCCGCTCGGCCCCGACACCCACAAGCCTCTGGGCTCTGTTCTTGGGACCCCCGACTCCACGATGTCTCGCCCAAAATCGACGCATACCTCCCGCCTGGCCGCCACCTCGCCCCCACCTGGCCCCGACAACCCCGGGTCCTGGGCTCTCTTCTTCGGACCCCCGACCCCGCGATTTCTCGCTCAAAATCGACCCATACCTCCCACCTGGCCGCCACCCCGCCCCCACCTGGCCCCGACGCCCCCAGGCCTCTGGTCTCTGTACTTGGGACCCTCCCGACCCACGATTTCTCGCGCCCAAAGCAACCCATAACCGCGACACTGGCCGCCTGCCCTCGCCCCCACCTGGGCCCGACGCCCCAGGCCTCAGGGCTCTGTTCTTGAGACCCCCCCCGCCCCCGCGATCTCCCCGAAATCGACCATACTCCCCCACCTGGCCGCTCACCTCGCCTACGCCCCCACCTGGCCCCGAACGCCCCCAGGCCTCTGGGCTCTGTCTTGAGACCCCCCTACCCTCGATTTCTCGCCCGAAATCGACCCACACCCCCCACCTGGCCTCCACCTCGCACCCACCTGGCCCCAACACCCCCAGGCCTCTGGGCTTTGTTCTTCGGACCCCCGACCCCGCGATTTCTCGCCCGAAATCGGCCCATGCCCCCCACGTGGCCGCCGCCTCGCCCCCACCTGGCCCCGACGCCCCCAGGCCTCTGGGCTCTGTTCTTGGGGCACCCGACCCCGCGATTTCTCGCCCAACATCAACCCGTACCCTTCACCTGGCCGCCACCTCGCCCTCGCCAGGCCCCGACGCCCCCCGGCCTCTGGGCTCTGTTCTTGGGACCACCGACCAAAAGATTCCCCGCCCAAAATCAACCCATACTCCCCCCCCACCTGGCCGCCACCTCGCACCCACCTGGCCCGACACCCCCAGGCCTCTGGGCTCTGTTCTTGGACCCCCGACCCTACGATTCTCGCCCGAAATCGACTCATGCCAGCCACCTGGCCGCCACCTTGCCCCCACCTGGCCCTGACACCCCCAGGTCTCTGGGCTCTGTTCTTGGGCCCCCCGGCCCCGCGATTTCTCGCCCGAAATCGACCCATGCCCCCCACCTGGCCGCCGCCTCGCCCCCACCTGGCCCTGCCACCCCCTGCCTCTGGGCTTTGTTCATGAGACCCCCGACCCCCCGCGATTTCTCTCGCCCCCGTTATCGCCCTTAAATAAACCAACCCCCCCGTACCCCCCCCCCCCCCCCCCGCCCCACCCACCCCACCTGGCTGCCACCTCCGCCACCACCTGGCCACCGCCGCCCCCAGGCCTCTGGGCTCTGTTCTTGGGGCCCCCGACCTCACGATTTCTATTTCAAAATCGACCCATACCCCCCACCTGGCCGCCACCTCGCCCCCACCTGCCCGACCCCCCAGGCCAGGTTTTGTCGCCCAAACATGACCCACATCCTCACCGCTATGGGGCCTCTCCTTTTGGAACTCCACATGATCAGCATACTACTATTTTGCATCCTTGCCGGCATGCCTCTCCTAGTCTCCCCGCAACATGCTTCGCGACTGGCACGCGTTTCCGTCGTCCCTCTTGTCGGCCGTGGCAACAGCTATCCAGTCTTACGCACTTTCGTCACCGACGCGTGGCTCCGCTCAGCGACTTCCTTCCTTTTGCGCTATTGGTCAGCGCAGCACTCGCATCGACGCTGTCGGCGCGTTCTTCAACATGTACTCTGAAAACTCGGTTCTCCTTTTGGGGATTCCGCATTTGGAACACACGCGCTCTTTTGCCTCTTCGGCACGGGCCTTCTCCTCCTCTCTCTGCAATATCTTACAAGCCGTGCATGTGGGTTCCTCGTTGATAATAGTTTCCGCTTTCGCAAATTGATCTAGTAACTTCTGCTCGCCGCAGCGCGAACACTGCAGGTGCTTCTTCAGCTCCTCGCACTCGAGGCACATTCCCCCTTTGCACCGGGCGTCCCCTGCCTTCTCCCATTGGAAGTCTACGAACGCATCCTCGTACTTCCGCCCCTCGCATACGCAACACTTTCGCCTCTCGGGACAGCCCACGCAACGCCGTGACGTGAGCTTCGAGCTGTGGTGCTGGGATGCATGGAAAGCATCCTGGCCCTTCCACAGAAAGCATTCCGCGCACTGCCACGGCGTGCCAATGCTCTTCTTGCCTTCCAAGCACACCTTGCACGCGCGGCGACCGTCGTCCCGGCTCCACTGCCCGAGCGCGTACTCGTTCTTGTACTTCACCGACGAGCACAGTGCGCACGTCCCTGCAGGCATGAACTCCATCTCGATTGCCTCCCAGTCCATCGGGTCTCCCCGCAACGCCTGTAACAGTAATCCGGGCCCCTCCCGCTCCTTCTGAGCGTGCGGCGCACGGTCGAAAGGCCGAAATATCAACATCTCTTCGCGGCGACGCACGCGCGTCAGAGCCACATAACTCGACAACGGCGACGTGCCCCCGCTAATCCTGAGGTCCACGATGACACCCTGCTTAAAAGTCTGGCCCTGTGCTGAATGGGCGGTGACTCCAAACGCTGGGGCCAAGGGGAACTGCCGCCGCTTCACTTTCAGACGCGGGCACGGTCTGCCCTGGTCGACGAACCAATCTTTTTTCTGCGGGGTCACTGGGTACAGGCCCGGCGTCTTCAGCCCCTGTATCGTCCACTTGCACGGAATCACGTTCCCTGCGTCATCGCGACCCTCATCGAAGAGGACAAATATCACTTCCGGCGTCTTCTGCAATATGGTCTCTCTCCCCCGGGAGACGCGACCTGCTCCTTCGTCGCCATCACACACCCATGAGTGCACGGTCCCCACGCGTCCGCGGAATAGGTACTTGTCCTCGCTGCGGTCGATATGATCTGTGAGGGCCACAGGCATTCCCTCCGCGACTGGCAAAAAACCATACAGGTCTCCGCTCTCCTTGTCGTGACGCTTACTCCTGCGAGTCCCACCCGCTAGCCCATCTGCTTGTTTCGGACGGCAAAGCACCAAAAGGTTCACGACCCTGCGGGAGCGCCGCGACACTCGCGGCAACAGCGGGACAGTGATCGCGCGAGGACTGAAATGGACAATCTCTGACTTCCCCAAAACCTAGAAAAAAAAACCGAAACCCGGGATGTCGCAACAAAACACCTGCAGAGCCTTCTTTGGGGTCGGCGGCAGAGGCGGCAGCCTTTAGATAAATACACACACATAAAACGACTCCCCATATTTTCTGGGGTTTTGTCTCCACCCCCACTTCCAATATTTTCCCAGATTTTCCTGGGGGTGAACGATTCATTGTGTCTGTGTGTATCTTCCCCTCCTGAGTAGGTGGTGTAACGGTGCGTCTGTTTTTCTGGTCCAAAACCCCTCTTCCCTTCGGGGAGGGGAACGGTCTCCCTCCCCTCCCTGAGTTCTTGTTCGGTTTGGGGGGTCCGCGACGTGTCGGAGGGTCTCTTTTTGCCCAAGATGGCTTCACGAGGGCCTCCGGTGCTCCAGGTTGGCCTCCAAGATGGCTCAAGGTAGCAAACGATGGCTCAAGATGGCTTTCAAGTGTGATTATGGAATCAAAAACAAAACCATAAACATAAACTTTTGGCGCTCCGCGCGAATCTGGGATGTGCGCCGGATCCCCCTCCCTGGCGCGCGGAGCGCTCCAGGGGCGGCGCCGGAGGCACCGCCGGGGAGGACCCAGCGCGGATGCGAGAAATCCGCGCGGCGCGCCAAAGTTTCTGGTTGTGTTTCTGTTGCTTCTTACTCTTTACTCGATTCGGGGGTGTTTCTGCGTTGATTGTTCTTCGAATCGACTGCACGTAAGAGTGACCCTGGGTAAGAGTGACCTTTGGTGCGCGGCTTTGGGGGGGCCGCGGGGGGACCAAGCCTGGGCGCGCAAGCAGCTGCTGCTGCGTCGCTTTCAGCTATGCGGGGACCCATCTGTGCCCGCACCAAAGGTCACTGCGGCGAAGGGTCACTCTGGCGAAGGGTCACTCCCCAAAAATAGTTCCCATACTATTTTTTGACTATTTTTGACTACCCCCCGACTTAAGCGTTGCTTGCTTTCCGAACCTCGCCAGGCTGATGCCGTCATAGCAGGTGGAACCCTCGCTGGGCGACTGCGCGGCGAGCCTGTCGGCCTCGCTGCGCGCGCGCAAGATCGAGGCCATCTCGGCCGGCTGCCACCACAGCGCCGCCCTGCTCTCCTAACAGGGCGCGAGCTGAACTTCAGTCGGGCGTGTCCCCTCACGGGGGGATTTTGGGGCGAAAAATTAAATTAGCCAGGCGAAGGACCCAACTATATACAAGTGCGAATACCGCAATTGTGATTCCCTGTTTCGGTGGTGATCCCTATGGGGCAACGAACCGTGCTAGTGGCGTGCCAAAATCAATGGCGTGGTACACGACGCGAACGAAAACGATTGATCTGAGTACGTGGGGAGACTGAGCGCGAGTGAATCTGAGCGCGAGTGCGTCTGACTGTGAATGAATCTGCGCGCGAGCGAATCTACGTGCATGAATGCGAGTATGCCAATGCATGGTGAAAGTGTATGTGAATGCCAATAGTTTGTGAATGACTGCCTCTGAGTACTCGTGACGCTGGGCGTGGCCGCCGCAAGGAGCTCCCCCGGGACTCCCCGACGGCATCGCCCGCGCGCCGCGACGCCACCGCGAGGATCGCGCCCGCTTCCTTCCCTTCTTTTACTTCCTCTTTGCCCGCGCACTCAAAGTCCAAAGCTGCGGGCGCAGCGCAGCGCGGAGTCCCAGCGACGCGCGCAGGTCGCCCCGGAGGGGTCCCAGCGACGCGCGCGGGTCGTCCGCTGCGCGCAGCAAAGAGAGCTAGCTGGCTGGCTGATAGCAGGCAAGGCTCTTGCCGCTGTGCACAGCGACGACGGGCGAGGGAGGCGCGGAACCTCGACGGCCTCCGACGGAGGTGTACTGGGTGGTGGAGACGCGTGCGGACTGCGCCACGGGGACCTTCGGTGGAGCTCCCTATGGGGCCACGAAACGCGTGAGGGGTGTGCCGAAATGGGTGTGCGGGAAGCATGCGGGCACACCCACTGGGACCTTCGGTGGAGCTCCGTATGGGACACGAAACGTGTGAGGGGTGTTCCGAAATGGGTGTGCGGGACGCATGCGGGCACAACCACTGGGACCTTCGGTGGAGCTCCCCATGGGGCCACGAAACGTGTGAGGGGTGTGCCGAAATGGGTGTGCGGGACGCATGCGGGCACACCCACTGGGACCTTCGCTGGAGCTCCCCATGGGGCCACGAAACGTGTGAGGGGTGTGCCGAAATGGGTGTGCGGGACGCATGCGGGCACACCCACTGGGACCTTCGGTGGAGTTCCCTATGGGGCCACGACGCGTGTGAGGGTTGTGCGGAAATGTGTGTGCGGGACGCATGCGGGCACACCCACTGGGACCTTCGGTGGAGCCCCCTATGGGGCCACGAATCGTGTGAGGGTTGTGCCGAAATGGGTGTGCGGGACGCATGCGGGCACACCCACTGGGACCTTCGGTGGAGCTCCCTATGGGGCAACGAAACGTGTGAGGGGAGTGCCGAAATGGGTGTGCGGGACGCATGCGGGCACACCCACTGGGACCTTCGGTGGAGCTCCCTATGGGGCCACGAAACGTGTGAGGGGTGTGCCAAAATGAGTGTGCGGGACGCATGCGGGCACACCCACTGGGACCTTCGGAGGAGCTCCCTATGGGGCCACGAAACGTGTGAGGGGTGTGCCGAAATGGGTGTGCGGGACGCATGCGGACGGCAGCACTGGGGCCTTCGGTGGAGCTCCCTGTGGGGCCACGAAACGTGTGAGGGGTGTGCCGAAAAGGGTGTGCGGGACGCATGCGGACGGCAGCCATGGGGCCTTCGGTGGAGCTCCCTGTGGGGCCACGAAACGTGTGAGGGGTGTGCCGAAATGGGTGTGCGGGACGCATGCGGACGGCAGCCATGGGGCCTTCGGTGGAGCTCCCTATGGGGCCACGAAACGTGTGAGGGGTGTGCCGAAATGGGTGTGCGGAGGATGAGGGGGAGGAGGAGGAGAGGAGGAGAGGAGGAGAGGAGGAGAGGAGGGCCACCGTCTCTTCAAAGCGAGGACCCAACAACACAGGTTGGTTTGGAAAAATCCCGAAACATATCACAAAAATGCTCAAACATCGATTTTTTACTATTTCTGAATATCCCCCCTGTGGAGGGACAGGCCCGACCTACAGCTAAACGGTGTGTTCCGTCCTTGCGTTATGTTGGTCCTCCCTCGTTCTGTCTTGTGAACGTTTTCTTAGTCGGCATTTCGACACTGGGCGGGGGGAGGGGGGGAGGGGGGGGGGGTCTGGCTCCGGACCTCTGCATAATGCGACTGTTTGCAACAGGGCGTCCATTATGGGGGAGACTCCACCTGTTCGAAACAGGGGCCAAAAACCAGCCAAGATCCACTCCATGGGGGGGGGGAGGGGGGGGCGAACGCCAACGCCGATTGGCAGAACAATTAATAAAATTAGCCTGCCGAGGACCCAACCAATATGCAGGAGCGAGTAACCGCAATAGTGATTCATTTTTTTTCGGTGTGCGATCCCTATAGGCAACGAACCGTGCTAGGGCTGCCGACATGAGTGGCGTGGTACACAAAGTGAAACGAAAAACGTTGATCTGAGTACGTAGGAGACTGAGCGCGGTGAACTGCGCGCGTGAGTCTGACTGTGAATGATCTGCGTGCGAGCGAGTCTACGTGCATGAATGCGAATATGACAAAGCGTGGTGCAAATGTGTATGAATGCCAATAGTTGGACAACGACTGCCTCTGAATACTCGTGACGCTGGGCGTGGCCGCCGCAAGGAGCTTCCCCGGGACTCCCCGACGGCATCGCCCGCGCGCCGCGACGCCAATGTCGGCGCGCCCCCCGCGAGGATCGCGCCCGCTTCCTCCCCTTCCTTTACTCCCTCTTTGCCCGCGCACTCAAAAGTCCAAGGCTGCGGGAGCAGCGCAGCGCGGAGCCCCCGCGACGCGCGCAGGTCACACCGGAGGGGTCCCAGCGACGCGCGCGGGTCGTCCACTGCGCGGAGCGAAGAGAGCTAGCTGGCTGGCTGATAGCGGGCAAGGCTCTTGCCGCTGGGCAGAGCGACGCCCGACGACGAGGCGCAGGCGTAACGCAGCACGAGCCCCCGCGTCTCGCGCAGTCGCCCCGGAGGAGTCCCAGCGACGCGCGCGGGTCGCCCGCTGCGCGGAGCAAAGAGAGCTAGCTGGCTGGCTGGGACCTGCGGTGGGGCTCCATATTGGGGCCTTCGGTGTGTCTGGGCACGAACGCTGTACTGGGCAAAGAAGGCATGTGGACAGCGCCCACGGGGACCTTCGTGGAGCTCCCTATGGGCCCACGCAAACGTGTGAAAAAAAAAAAAAAAAAAATAAAAGGGATGGTGCCGAATGGGTTGTGCGGGACGCATGCGGCACACCCACTGAGACCTTCGTGGTAGCACCCTATGGGGCCACGAAACGTTGAGGGCTGGACGACATCGTGTGGCGGGGCGCATGCGGGCACACCCACTGGGACCTTCGGTGGAGCTCCATCTGGGGCCACGAAACGTGTGAGGGGTGTGCCGAAATGGGCGTACGGGACGCATGCGGGAACACCCACAGGGACCTTCGGTGGGGCTGCCTATGGGGCCACGAAGCGTGTGAAGGGTGTACCGAAATGTGTGTGCGGGACGCATGCGGGCACACCCACTGGGACCTTCGGTGGAGTTCCCTATGGGGCCACGAATAGTGTGAAGGGTGTGCCAAAATGGGTGTGCGGGACGCATGCGGGCACACCCACTGGGACCTTCGGTGGAGCTCCCTATGGGGCCACGAAACGTGTGAGGGGTGTGCCGAAATGGGTGTGCGGGACGCATGCGGACGGCAGCACTGGGGCCTTCGGTGGAGCTCCCTATGGGGCCACGAAACGTGTGAGGGGTGTGCCGAAATGGGTGTGCGGGACGCACGCGGGCACACCCACTGGGACCTTCGGTGGAGCTCCCTATGGGGCCACGAAACGTGTGAAGGGTGTGCCGAAATGTGGGACCAAGGGGACGCAATGCGGCCACATCCAAGCGCGGACCTTCGTGGAGCCCCCTTTGGGCCACGAACGAATGAGGGGTGGCCGAAATGGTGTGCGGGACGCACGCGGGCACACCCACGGGGACCTTCGGTGGAGCTCCCTATGGGGCCAAGAACGTGTGAGGGGGTGTTCCGAAATGGGTTGCGGACGCATGCGGGCGGCAGCACTGGGGCCTTCGGTGGAGCTCCCTATGGGGCCACGAAACGTGTGAGGGGTGTGCCGAAATGGGTGGTGGGGAGGCATGCGAACGCAGCCACTGGGGCCTTCGGTGGAGCTCATATGGGGCCGCGAAGCGTGTGAGTGGTGTGCCGAAATGAGTGGTGGGGAGGCATGCGGGCACACCCACTGGGACCTTCGGTGGAGCTCCCTATGGGGCCATCGAAGCTCGTGGAGGGGGGTGCGAAATGAGTGTGCGGGACGCATGCGGGCACACGCACTGGGACCTTCGGTGGAGCTCCCTATGGGGTCACGAAACGTGTGAGGGGTGTGCCGACATGGGTGGTGATAATGATGATGACGACAGATGATGATGACGATGACGATGATGGGGATGATGACGATGATGATGAAGATGGGAGGAGGGAGGGGGCAGCGGGAAGGAAGGAAGGAACGCGGGGCGACGTCTCTTCAAAACGAGGACCCAACACCACAGGATGGTTGGGAAAAACTATCACCTTGGGTCCGCCTTTGCTGCGCGAACTCACACCGAGAACAGTTCACCGCATTGCCAGCTCGCCAGCACACCGTTCGGCCCGAGCCCTGCTCTCCCCCCAGGCTCGACCCAGACGGTGCTTTCCGTGCCCGTTTTGCTTTAGGTATCCCTCGTTCTGTCTTCGTTCCGCCTCCGATGCAGCACGACGTCAGCACGAAAACGGCCCGCGAAAGCGTCAACTCACCGTTTGGCTGGAGCCCTGCTCTCCTCGTCTGCCTGGCACATGTCCGGGAGGAGCGCGCAGGACACCTGCCGGCGGCGCGCGCATAGAGGACGACGAGGTCTATCAATATCCACCACCGCTGGCCAGGTTCATCCTGGGTCTTGGAGCGGTGCATACAGTGGGGCCGATCCACAAGAAACCTTCCACCCAACCCTGCGACCCCATGACGTCCATTAATTCCCAACCATCCTGTGGTGTTGGGTCCTCGTTTTGAAGAGACGTCGCCCCGCGTTCCTTCCTTCCTTCCCGCTGCCCCCTCCCTCCTCCCATCTTCATCATCATCGTCATCATCCCCATCATCGTCATCGTCATCATCATCTGTCGTCATCATCATTATCACCACCCATGTCGGCACACCCCTCACACGCTTCGTGGCCCCATAGGGAGCTCCACCGAAGGTCCCAGTGCGTGTGCCCGCATGCGTCCCGCACACATTTCGGCACACCCCTCACACGTCGTGGCCCCATAGGGAGCTCCACCGAAGGTCCCACGCATGCGTCCCGCACACCCATTTCGGCACACCCCCCTCACCACGTTTCGTCGGCACACCCCCCACACGTTTCGTAGGGAAGGCTCCACCGAAGGCCCCATGGCTCCACCGAAGGTCCCAGTGGTGTGCCGCATTGCGTCCCGCACACACATTTCGGCACACCCCTCACACGCTTCGTGGCCCCATAGGGAGCTCCACCGAAGGTCCCAGTGCTGTGCCCGCATGCGTCCCGCACACCCATTTCGGCACACCCCTCACACGTTTCGTGGCCCCATAGGGAGCTCCACCGAAGGCCCCAGTGGGTGCGCCCGCATGCGTCCCGCACACCCATTTCGGCACACCCCTCACACGTTTCGTGGCCCCATAGGGAGCTCCACCGAAGGTCCAGTGGGTGTGCCCGCATGCGTCCCGCACACCCATTTCGGCCACCCCTCACACGTTTCGTGGCCCCATAGGGAGCTCCACCGAAGGTCCCAGTGGGTGTGCCCGCATGCGTCCCGCACACCCATTTCGGCACACCCCTCACACGTTTCGTGGCCCCATAGGGAGCTCCACCGAAGGTCCCAGTGGGTGTGCCCGCATGCGTCCCGCACACCCATTTCGGCACACCCCTCACACGTTTCGTGGCCCCATAGGGGGCTCCACCGAAGGTCCCAGTGGGTGTGCCCGCATGCGTCCCGCACACACATGTCGTCCCACCCCTCACACGTTTCGTGGCCCCATAGGGAGCTCCACCGAAGGTCTCAGTGGGTGTGCCCGCATGCGTCCCGCACACCCATTCCGGCACATCCCTCACACGTTTCGTGGCCCCATAGGGAGCTCCACCGAAGGTCCCCGTGGCGCAGTCCACATGCGTCTCCTTTGCCCAGTACAGCGTTACGTGGCCCCATATGGAGCCCCACCGCAGGTCCCAGCCAGCCAGCTAGCTCTCTTTGCTCCGCGCAGCGGGCGACCCGCGCGCGTCGCTGGGACTCCTCCGGGGCGACCTGCGCGCGTCGCGGGGGCTCCGTGCTGCGTTCCGCCCAGCGCCTCGCTCGCCCGTCGTCGCTCTGCCCAGCGGCAAGAGCCTTGCCCGCTATCAGCCAGCCAGCTAGCTCTCTTCGCTCCGCGCAGTGGACGACCCGCGCGCGTCGCTGGGACCCCTCCGGGGTGACCTGCGCGCGTCGCGGGGGCTCCGCGCTGCGCTGCTCCCGCAGCCTTGGACTTTTGAGTGCGCGGGCAAAGAGGGAGTAAAGGAAGGGGAGGAAGCGGGCGCGATCCTCGCGGGGGGGCGCGCCGACATTGGCGTCGCGGCGCGCGGGCGATGCCGTCGGGGAGTCCCGGGGAAGCTCCTTGCGGCGGCCACGCCCAGCGTCACGAGTATTCAGAGGCAGTCGTTGTCAAACTATTGGCATTCATACACATTTGCACCACGCTTTGTCATATTCGCATTCATGCACGTAGACTCGCTCGCACGCAGATCATTCACAGTCAGACGCACGCGCGCAGATTCACCCGCGCTCAGTCTCCCTACGTACTCAGATCAATCGTTTTCGTTCACTTTGTGTACCACGCCACTCATGTCGGCACGCCCCTAGCACGGTTCGTTGCCTCATAGGGATCGCCACCGAAAAAATGAATCACTATTGCGGTACTCGCACCTGCATATGGTTGGGTCCCTCGTCAGGCTAATGTTTTGGTGTGGAGCGTCACGCTTTCCAGGGCACCCTGGAGGCAAGCAGGGTGTCTCTTGGCATGGGTCTCCACTGTATCCACCGCCGCTGGCCAGGTCCATCCTGGGCCCAGGAGCGATGCATACGCCTCTCCGGCTTGGCCAGGGAGGCATGTACACCGCTCCCGGGTCCAGGATGGGCCTGGCCAGCGGCGTTGGACATGTTTAGTATGCAGCATCTCGTCGCCCCAGCACAGTGGGGTGTGTGGCGAGGGGGATGGACTTCCAAGACGGCAGGTGGGCTTCTTACAAGGCCACCCGCCCTGAGAAGCCTCCTCCGAATACTGCGAGCCCCTCTTGGCGGTGCGCACAAGGGGGTGGGGGGAGGGCGGAAGGCTTCTTAGAAGGAGCCTGCTTCTTAGAAGGCGCCGGCCTTACATCTATAGATCTTCTAAGAAGTAGGGGTGCTTCTAAGAAGCCCTGCCCCATCCCCACACCCCCCTCTGCGCGTGGCTGACCATCCATGAGGCTCCCTGCCTTCTCAGCGCACCCCCCTGTCCTCGTCCCAGACATCTAGAAACAAGCGCCCCGAAACACCATGCTGGCAATGTTGCCAGCCGCCTCCAGCCGTGGCGACGATCTGGACATCCAGCGCTTCGACTGCCTTGATTCGGGGGCGCGCAAAGATGGATTAGCGATCCATGGATTTGGCGCGCGGTCGCCAAATCCATAGAACGGGGGAGGTGCCCTCACCAAAATGCGGCCAGTGCCGCCTCGTTCGGCGGCGGAAACCAGCGATTTCCCACAGAAACGGGACCCGTCGCTAATCCACGCCTCCTTAATCCATGTTTGCGATCGCCTGATTGATGTGCGGGCGCTCAGATCCCTCGGCCCCCAAAAAAGTGATGGCGTTGTTTCATCCCGAGCCGTTTTGTTGACGAACACGTTGCTACAAACCGGCTGCCCGACGCTTTTGTTCGAGGCGGCGGATGTCTGGGGAGGACCCCGCAGGCACGCCGAATCAAATTACCCTGCGACGTGCCCAACCCATCTGCACAAACTGTCCAGAATAGCACGCCAAATCCTTGCGGAAGATGACGTGACAATGAACGCTACAAGGGAGATTCGCTCGTTGCACGACTCACGAGAGAGGCTTGAGTGGTGGAAGGGCTAATTAGATGGGAGGAGGGGGGAGGAAAGGATGAGGCGGAAATGTACCCCCCAAGGTCGGTGAGGTCTCGCTCAGATCTGGGCATGACCGCATCCACCTCTGCAGTCTTGGTCGAAAAAGCTGGTCCTCATCCTCCTCCTACTCCTCATCATCCTCGTCCTCCTCTCCTCCTCCTTCTCCCTCGCCCACTCTTCCTGGATTCCCGAAACGCCCACGAAAGTGGTGACGCTTTCACAATTCGCAGCCCTCAGGGGGTGGCGAGGTGTAATTTAGGCCCGCGCAGGCCCGCACTATGCTGCCCCACTCACCAGCACACAAACGTGGCGACGGATGCGCAGCTCGCACCCCCCAAGGCATGGCGAGGTCTAACCTAAAATCGAGCTGGCCTACATGATGCTGCCCCCCCAGGAGCCCACGAAAATGGCGACGGTTTCGCAACTCACAGCCCCCAGCCACGGTGGGATCCCATTCTGATGTGGGGGTGTGACGCCACTCCGCTAGACGCTAGACATCCCAGGAGCCCCCGAAAAAAGGACCTCCCAGGGAGGCCGGAGCCTCGTTCTGATCTGAGTGGGACGTCGCTGTGCTGGGACTCCCGGCTGCCGCCCAGCGTGGCAACGGTGTGGCCACGATCTGCCCCGGGGAGGGGGAGGTCCCGCACCGATCTGAAACTGACGTCCCTCCGCTTCCTCCGGGAGGCCCACGGACGTGGCGACGGCTGCGGAGTTCGCAGCCTCCCAGAGAAAGCGAGGTCGTTACGATCTGGGTATGAAGTCACTCCGCTGGGACTCCCCACAGCATACAAAAAAAGCTACCGTTTCGCAGCTCGCAATTCCCAGCGACGGCGGGAGCCCGCTCTGCCCCGGATACGACGTCGCTCCGCTGGGCCTCCCAACAGCCAGCAAAAGAGGCAACCGCTTCGCAACTCGCAGGCTCCGGCGACGGCGAGAGCCCGTTCTGATCTGGATATGACGTCGCTCCGCTGGGCCTCCCAAGAGCCCACAGTAAAAGGCGACAGCGTCGCAGTTCGCAACCCTCGGAGAGTGCGAGGTCCCGTTCCGATCTGGAAATGACGTCACTCCGCTGAGCCTCCCAGGAGCTCGCAGAAAGGACGACTACATCGCCGTTCGCAGCCCCCAGGGAGGGCAAGGTCCCATCTGATTTGAACAATACGCCACTTGAAGAAGCCCACGAAGGGGAAAGCAGCTTTGCGGTTGGCAGCCCCCAGGGACGGCGACGCCGCGTCTGATCTGACTAAGGCGCCCCCTTGGAGCCTAGGAAAGTGGCGCGACATCTTCACAGTTCGCAGCCCCCAGCGGAGGCGAAGTCGAACTCAGATATGGGTACTGTGCTGGGCCTCCCATGAGCCCAGGGACGTGGCGACAGTTTCGAAGTTCACAGTCCCCAGGGTCGACGAACAGGAATGGAGAGGTAGGAGCCATGGGAGGACGCAGGCAGGAAGGAGGAAGAAGTGACAGCAGGGAGGCGGGAGGAGAGGAGGCGGCAGCAGCGCTCGATTGAAAGCAATGAGCCAACGCAGTGAAGCTGGAGATTCGCCTCTCTGTCTCTCTCTCTCTCTCGCTCTCTCCCTCCCTCCACAGCGGCGACGCCGACACCCTGCCCCGTCCTGACCCTCTGGTGCGCGGCTGGCTGACCGTTGCCTGCGATGCGACACGCAGCGGCCGGCATGCTCGGGCCTGGCCACCCGACGCCACCCCGAACGCCACGCGCCAGAGGGTCCCTCCAGCGAAGGGTCACCCTCGCATGTAGCCGAACCTGCGTGCAACCCAGACGCCCGACGTCGTGATTTGTTCACAACGTCGACCCCCAGAGGTCCCTACCCCTTCCCAAAGGACCGGTTTCTCATCCCGAGTCGTCGTTTGAGGGTCTCGAGGCCCGGGAAAGGACCCCGGAGGCCGAAAACAGCGAAACGCCTCCCGCCGTGATTGTTTCCCAACGCGAGGAGGTCTGGGAACCGAGCCTCGTCGACGAAGCGCAGGCTCTTGTGGGCGCGGCCACTGCGGCCACCCCACTGGTCGTCCGCCCGGACGCCCAGAGGCCACCTCGGGTGCGCCGGAAGGGGGGCCAGGACGGGGGGAGCCCGGAGCATCGTGCCCCGAGGCACGTGCGCGGACGAAGGCGGGGGAGGGGCAGTGGGTCATGCTCGAAGAATCGGGGAGACGTAAGACTCGGGTGCGGGGGACTCGGGTTGGCCTGGGCCATCATAATCTCAAATTTGACTCGAGCTCCCGCTGCAAACATCCCACGAAGACTGGACCGTCAGAATCCAGGACCAGCTCGTCAAAAACGTCGGCAAACCCGAGTTATGGTTACTCGAATATGACGCTTCCCCGAAAGAATTAGCCTGACGAGGGACCCAACCATATGCAGGTGCGAGTACCGCAATAGTGATTCATTTTTTCGGTGGCGATCCCTATGAGGCAACGAACCGTGCTAGGGGCGTGCCGACATGAGTGGCGTGGTACACAAAGTGAACGAAAACGATTGATCTGAGTACGTAGGGAGACTGAGCGCGGGTGAATCTGCGCGCGTGCGTCTGACTGTGAATGATCTGCGTGCGAGCGAGTCTACGTGCATGAATGCGAATATGACAAAGCGTGGTGCAAATGTGTATGAATGCCAATAGTTTGACAACGACTGCCTCTGAATACTCGTGACGCTGGGCGTGGCCGCCGCAAGGAGCTTCCCCGGGACTCCCCGACGGCATCGCCCGCGCGCCGCGACGCCAATGTCGGCGCGCCCCCCCGCGAGGATCGCGCCCGCTTCCTCCCCTTCCTTTACTCCCTCTTTGCCCGCGCACTCAAAAGTCCAAGGCTGCGGGAGCAGCGCAGCGCGGAGCCCCCGCGACGCGCGCAGGTCACCCCGGAGGGGTCCCAGCGACGCGCGCGGGTCGTCCACTGCGCGGAGCGAAGAGAGCTAGCTGGCTGGCTGATAGCGGGCAAGGCTCTTGCCGCTGGGCAGAGCGACGACGGGCGAGCGAGGCGCTGGGCGGAACGCAGCACGGAGCCCCCGCGACGCGCGCAGGTCGCCCCGGAGGAGTCCCAGCGACGCGCGCGGGTCGCCCGCTGCGCGGAGCAAAGAGAGCTAGCTGGCTGGCTGGGACCTGCGGTGGGGCTCCATATGGGGCCACGTAACGCTGTACTGGGCAAAGGAGACGCATGTGGACTGCGCCACGGGGACCTTCGGTGGAGCTCCCTATGGGGCCACGAAACGTGTGAGGGATGTGCCGGAATGGGTGTGCGGGACGCATGCGGGCACACCCACTGAGACCTTCGGTGGAGCTCCCTATGGGGCCACGAAACGTGTGAGGGGTGGGACGACATGTGTGTGCGGGACGCATGCGGGCACACCCACTGGGACCTTCGGTGGAGCTCCCTATGGGGCCACGAAACGTGTGAGGGGTGTGCCGAAATGGGTGTGCGGGACGCATGCGGGCACACCCACTGGGACCTTCGGTGGAGCTCCCTATGGGGCCACGAAACGTGTGAGGGGTGTGCCGAAATGGGTGTGCGGGACGCATGCGGGCACACCCACTGGGACCTTCGGTGGTGGGGCCACGAAAGAGGGGTGTGCCGAAATGGGTGTGCGGGACGCATGCGGGCACACCCACTGGGACCTTCGGTGGAGCTCCCTATGGGGCCACGAAACGTGTGAGGGGTGTGCCGAAATGGGTGTGCGGGACGCATGCGGGCACACCCACTGGGACCTTCGGTGGAGCTCCCTATGGGGCCACGAAACGTGTGAGGGGTGTGCCGAAATGGGTGTGCGGGACGCATGCGGGCACACCCACTGGGACCTTCGGTGGAGCTCCCTATGGGGCCACGAAACGTGTGAGGGGTGTGCCGAAATGGTGTGCGGGACGCATGCGGGCACACCCACTGGGACCTTCGGTGGAGCTCCCTATGGGGCCACGAAACGTGTGAGGGGTGTGCCGAAATGGGTGTGCGGGACGCATGCGGGCACACCCACTGGGACCTTCGGTGGAGCTCCCTATGGGGCCACGAAACGTGTGAGGGGTGTGCCGAAATGGGTGTGCGGGACGCATGCGGGCACACCCACTGGGACCTTCGGTGGAGCTCCCTATGGGGCCACGAAACGTGTGAGGGGTGTGCCGAAATGGGTGTGCGGGACGCATGCGGGCACACCCACTGGGACCTTCGGTGGAGCTCCCTATGGGGCCACGAAACGTGTGAGGGGTGTGCCGAAATGAGTGTGCGGGACGCATGCGGGCACACGCACTGGGACCTTCGGTGGAGCTCCCTATGGGGTCACGAAACGTGTGAGGGGTGTGCCGACATGGGTGGTGATAATGATGATGACGACAGATGATGATGACGATGACGATGATGGGGATGATGACGATGATGATGAAGATGGGAGGAGGGAGGGGGCAGCGGGAAGGAAGGAAGGAACGCGGGGCGACGTCTCTTCAAAACGAGGACCCAACACCACAGGATGGTTGGGAAAAAGGGGGGGCCACGACATCTGGAAGGTATCACGGCCCCGGGCCGCACCCCAGCGGGGCCGAACCCCAGCGGGGTCAAGGCGGAGGAGGAAACTTCGACTTGTAATCCGCGATGCGTCGCCGATAGCGCCAGGGTTGACGCCGGAGGAGCCGCCAAGGGGGGTCTGCCGACCCAAGACGTCCGCGAGGACCTCTGGCAAGTTACGCTCATGTCGACATGTCTCCTCCGAGGGCAGGAGAGGAGGAGGAGGACAGGAAGGAGAGAGGACGAGGAGGACGAGAGGGGTATCATCGAGGAGAGCACTTTTCCAGGACTGTGGCTGGGAGCGGCCACGCTACGGATGACTGGCTCACAGGGGCAAACATCGACTTGACATCCCCCCACAGGGGGACTTTGGGCGAGAAACTAAGAATGCCCATAAATATTCCAGAATGGGCAGAAATAATCCCCAAATCGCCCCCAGACGACTTATTGCCTATCTTTGCATATCCCCCCTGTAGAGACGCATCGCCGACGGCGGAATTCCGCACGCCCGGGTCCCGACTTGCGAGCCTCGGCGACCGGAGGCCACCACCCCTCTGCACGGGCCAGTGCCATCCCGCTGCTGCCGCCCCTCCCCCGGGGCCGCCCGCTGGCGCACGGCGCCGCGCCCGCGGCGCCGGCACGGCACCCGCTCTCCAGGTCGACGTGCACCACGCAGCTCCGCGCCTGCCGGCTGCACGAGCGGGGGCCTCCCAGACGGGGTCGGAGGATCGCGCCGCACCGCCGACGCATCGGCGATGCATCGGCGATGTGCCGGCGATGAGCCAGCGATGCCTCGTCGACGTGGGCGATGCATCGGCGATGTCGACGCGAGGCAAAGCGGGCTCCACATCGAGCCGCATTGGCGATGCATCGGCGATGCGGCGCCATCCTCTGATCCCATCAACTCCGACCCCCATCTGGGAGGCCTATAACGAAGCATTTGTGTTCCTAGGCCAGGGCGACCCTTTGGTGCACGGCCTGCCGATCGCTGCGTGCGATGCGACGACAAGCGGCATGCATCGGCATGCGTGCTCGGGCTTGGACCCCCGCGCCTTCCCCCCAAAAAACTTCCGCGCACCTAGACCCACTCCGGCGAAAGGCCACTCTTAGAAGAAGAAAACAACGACACAACCATAAACTGTCGGCGCTCCGCGCGGATTCGTTGGATCTGCGCTGGACCCCCCTCCTTGGCGCGAGGAGCGCGCCAGGGGCGGCGCCAGAGGCGCCGCCGGGAAGGGCCCAGCGCGGATCCAAGAACCCCGCGCGGAGCGCCAAAAGTTTCTGTTCTTCATGCCGTTTTTTCTCCTTCGAAGTTCTGCAGGGTGCGCACCCGCGGCGGCGGTCGGATGGCACGCGCGCGCCCGCAGACGCCCGCCCGCAGCTTGCAGGGCAGGTACCGCCGCCAGACCCAGCGGCGCAGCACCTCGGGCGGCGCTCACGGTGTTGGGTTTCGTGCGACGACCACGACGGCGAATGCAATGACGACAACGACTACTACGACGACGACGACGACGCCGAGGACTAGGACGACCACGGCAACGACGACCACGACGACGAGGACGACGACGACGACCACTGAGCCACTGAACCAGATGAGCACAGGATGGCGATTACGCAAACACAGCAAGGGAAACAATATTCAAGCATAGACTTCTATCGTTGCAAAACACTTTTTGGACAGGACGTGAACATAAACTCAATGACGACGGCGCCCATGAGCAAGCCTGGAACCAATCTATCAATCACCTCACATAGAGCTTCTGCGTGACATGCCCATCACGGAATTTCGCAATTGCCATCCAACAATAAGCCAGAATGAGCCCAAGATTAAGCCTCATGAAGGCCCGAGCAGCAATTGGCTGTGTGCGTCCACAATTTGATTGACGATCGACTGAAATAGCCTTTCCCTCTCGCTCCCTGTCCTCCGCATACTCCTCCTCCTCCTCCTCCTCCTCGCCTCATCCCTCTTCCAATGGCATTGCGCCAAAAAATCCAGGATGCGTGCGAATATCAACGCACTTGTGCTTATGCGGTGCGCCGTGCAGGCGCCCGGCACACCTGACCTGAATCGGGATCCACCAAAAGGGGGGGTAACCCTGAGAGGGGGGCAGGAACTCGATCCGCTGGTGCACCGAACTGCCACAAACCGATGCCTCTCGCATGCCCCACCTATCAGCAACGATCGGGATCTGCTGACGGCTGGGGGGCATGTGTTTTGGGCGGTTCGGTGCAAAGAGCGATCAAACTCACACCCCTCCCGGGCCCCCCCCCCTTTGCGGGATCCCGACTGGAGCCAGATTAAGCGGATCCAGATCCGAACAAGACGGTTTTCAACCACACATGTACCCGCGCCGATGCTGAGCTCAACCTCCTAGGAATCGCAACAGAGCAGGGTCATACAGTCGGACCATGTCATAACGATGCGCGATAAGGATGCAAGGGCCTTGAAAGCCAATCTCGAAGCGTTTCGAGCGGGGCGCGGCCAACGAAAGTGGCCTAGGATGGACCGAGGAGGCAAAGATGCGAGGGGGGTGCTCCGGGGAAAGTGACCCATCCCTGCTCATGCGGGTTGACTGTCTGAGAGGGCAGGGCAGCGCGGGTCGACATAGGGTCGGCCGCGCCAGGATGCTTACCCCCGCCGTGCAGATATCGGGCCGCGTCGCGTCGGATGGTGCACTGTGCGACGAGAAGCCCCCATGAAGCCAACGGTGGCGAAAAAAACAAAATCACCCTGGCGAAGCATCCAACCGTGTCTAGACGCGTGGCCGAAATGGGGCGAGGCCGCGTGCGACCGTAGCCACTGGGGTCTTCGCTGGAGCTCCCTATGAGGGCACAGCAAATGTGAGGGGTGGGCCGAAATGGGGCGGGGCAGCATGCGACCGCAGCCTCCAAATCGGACCACGAAACGTGAGGGGAACTCTGGAATGGGGTGGGCCCAGATGCGACCGCAGCCACTGGGGCCTTCGCTGGAGCTCCCCATAGGGCCACGAAACGTGTGAACGGTAAGCCGACATGGGGCAGTGCGGGGCCGCATGCGACCGCAGCCACTGGGGCCTTCGCTGGAACTTCCCATGGGGCCACGAAGCGTATAGAAAGTGCGCTGACATTGGACAGGGCCGCCAGCAAACCCAACCTGCAACTCAGACCACCAAATGTGTGAGGGGTGCGCCGAAACGAGCTGGGGCCGCATGCGACCGCAGCCACTGGGGCCCTCGCTGGAACTCCCTAGGGGGCCACAGTACTTGTGATGGGAGCGTCGACATGGGGCGGGGCCGCATGTGACCGCAGCCACTGGGGCCTTCGCTGGAACTCCATATGTGGCAACGAAAAACGTGTGTGGTGTGCACCGAAGTGAAGATGATCATGGTGATGCTGATGACGATGATGATGATGGTGGTGATGATGAAGCCCCACCAGTGGCGCGAGCGTCGGTAGCGCTTCGCCCACCTCTCCGCGTAGCCTCCTCGCACCGACACGGCAGCTGCGCGAAACACATGGAAGCTGCCCGAGCGAACCTCGGTGCAGCAGGCGACGAGAAGAACCCCGATGCCCAGAAGATAAGGCCCCCGCCTGGCCATCTGCTGTTTGAAGCCAGCAGGGACCATGGCACGGGGCCTCGTCACCGCACAGTCCTGCGGTCCAGGCGGCCAAACACGCCCGCCCTCATGGGGCGCCCGTCGCCAGCCACCAGGGGCCGACCGAACCCGACGACTGCAAATGGATTCGCACGGGACTGGCTCACCGCTCGGGAACGAGCATGCAGTCTCGGCTCACCCTGAACATCACGCGATCGGCTGCGGCGACTCCTCCTCGCCACTGCCGCTGGTTCTCCTTGCCAGCCCGACTGCGACGGGCGCAGGCCCCTCTGCAGCATCCTCAATGCATCTCTGTGCCGGTCCGCAGCCCAGCTCGGTCAGGGCCCCGTGAGGTTTATGACCCTGGCCGACGCCGCGTAGCACCAGCAAGTGACCCTCGGGTTCGCCTTGGTAAGCACGCGCGTGTGGTGGAGGCTGGCGTTCCAACGCGGCGGCCTGGGCCCGACCTCATCGCGCACTTCCCCGCCGACGCCAGGGGTTCCTTCTTTTTGTCCTCCACGTTGCGCGCCGCGTCCACGCCCACTGCTACGACCTCTACCCCCGCGGCCCCGCCCATCCGGGGCGGCTGCTTCGCCGCCAGCTCCATCTCTTTCAGGCTGCTTCCCAGCTGCTTCACCAGGCGCACAGCCCACGACCGATTTAGGGTTCTCCGCATCGATTTGCTGGTTGCCCGCCTTGGCTGGGATCGCCACGCCCACAGTTGCTGCCACGATGGCCGCCGCTGCGCCAGCTCTCCCAACAACTCCGCCTCCACTGGCCCATGCCAGTCCACCGCTCGGCTCATCGTCTGCATCCGCTGCACGACAGCCCTGGATGGCCGCCCCAGCACCCGCGCAGGACCAACACCTCCACTTCGCACCCATGTCCGCGATGATGGCCGTGCCGTGGACGTCGCATGCTCGTGTCGGGCACGTCGCGCCCCTTAGTTCGCAGTCCACGCGCGGCTTCCTCCTGCGCCCAGGCTAGCGGCTAGGCGCAGCGGATCGCCACCAACCCTGGCGCGTCGTAGCCGTCTGCCGCCCTGAGGAGGGCGTCGCCACCTTGCGCCGCCTCTCCGATCCAGGCCGTCAATTTCTTCGCCGAGTCATCGGCCTTCTGGATGCCGCCCCCCCTCACTTGCGCAATTCACGGACATGTGCACCTTCGTCCGCGCGCTCCCTCGCCTTGGCGTTCCTCGTGCGCCGCCTGTCCAGGACGCGGCCCTCGCGGATGCCATGCTCCGCGCAGTGGGCTTTCACACTGACGAGGCTGATGTTCGGCCCCTCGTGGTCCGCGACTAGCCTCCAGGACACGACGCCAGGCAATGCGCGGGCTCTGCCCCATGCAATACATCACCTCTCCCCCGCTGCACAGCCGTCGTGCGCCATGGCCGAAGCCGCGTGCATGACCATGGTCCCCAAGCGGTCCCTGAAGGCGACGGCCGCTGCCCGGAGTTCTCCCGCGCCGCTATCCTGCGGGGGCGCCCAAGGGGCGACCCGCCAGAGAGCTGCGCGCTCCGCGTCGCTCGCCTGCGCGTGCGCCGCCGCTGCCCATCCAACCCTCGCAAGCCGCCCGTCCTTGGTGCGAATCGCCCAGTCGGCCAGGCAGATATCCTGCCCCATGATGTCCGCACTCCCAGGGGTGACGTTGCTGAGCGGCGTCGGAGACTCATGCTTCTGATCCGACGCAATCCCACCGACCAAGCAGGGTGCTGCGCGCTGCTGCCTGGGGCGGTTCCCCCCCCCCCCTTCAGCGCAGGAAAAGCGGGCGACCCCCCTTCCTGTGCCCCTCCTCTGGCAGCGTAGGGCTGGGCATGTCCACCCCAACTGTCGGGCCGCGCCCTCTTCTTCAAAGCCCCGCGGGCACCGCGGCGACGACGCCGTCGGCGGGCTCGCCGCGCGCTCCCGGCCACAGGCACCCGACCCTGGCGCTGCGCGCCAGCGATCTGCATGCTGTGAGCATCGCCGACGCCTTCTTCGACAACGGCCGCTTCCTCGCGCTGCCAATGGCCCCGCCGTTCGTCGCCTCGCCGGATCCAGCTCCTCGCGGCGGCCCTCCGCCTCGCGCCGCGACGCGCCCGAGGCGCCCTGCCCCGCGGCGACCGTCAGCGCGTGGAACCCGCGCCTCATGAGGACCGGCCCCCTGCCCCCGTCGCCCTCGATGCTATCTGGATCGGCTCCATGCCCCAGCCGCGGCGCTGACTCGCCAGCGGGGCCGCCCCCGCTCGGCCCGCGCCAGCCAGGCCCCGCGCCCCCCCCCGTGCTCCTGCTCCTCCTTCGCGCCCAAGACCGCGCGCATGAGTGCGCGGCGGTCGTCGAGCTTCGCGGCCAGCTGCAGCCCCATCCACCCGGGCGGCCCGAAGGCGCGCCGGAACAGCGGGCCCCGGCGCTCCTCGCCGCGGCCGGGGCCAGGAAGCTGAGCGCCGCGCTGCGGCCGGGCGCCCTGCCCAACGGCAGAAAAGCTACCTGGCTCCTCCACCTTTGCTACCGCGCCTCCGACCGCACCATGGCCTCGCAACCGAAGTCCGCGGCGGACAGCGAGCCGCTCTGCGCCGACTTCCGCGCGTCAGGAATGAACGCTCATCTGGCCTGGCCGATGCGGGCGGATTCCTTCGCCGTTCAGCCTGCGTCTTTTCGGCCGCCGCCAACGCGCCCGACTCGGCACCGCAGCGCAAACCCAGTTTGCGCGCCTCGTCTGGTTGCCTGAGGTCGCCCGCGACGATGGCTCTGAACAGGGCCTCGCTCAACGCGTCAGACGACGCGATCGGCTCCGATTTGGCGCGCGAGACGACGCAATCCAGGTTGTCCTTCAACTGCAGGGTGAAGCGCCACATTGATCCTCTCAGGTA